GCCTTGAACCCGCGAGCCCCAATCCTTGAAGCTTTCGCTATTTTTCAGGATTTTGGTTTTTTCTTGATCCTTATTTTGTTTTTTGTTGATCCCTTTTTTTTTGTGTTTTAGATCCTTATTTGATTTTTTTGATCCCTCACCCTGTTCAGCCATGATGTTGGCAAACCGCATCTGGTTTTGTGTTTCTTGTATGCCGCGACAGGGCTTCACAATTTCAATGCAAGGTTGAAGCGCAAATGACCATATTCCTCTGGGTTGGATTCGTTTGGTGGGTTGTACGCCGCCGACATGTGGATGAAGTGTTGGTGTTGATTATGGTGGGTGTAAGAAGTTCGTTTGGTTGGTTTTGGTTCTAGAAGTTTCGTTGTTGATTTTTTGGAGCGTATGCTTATGTTTTCTGGGGGCTTGCCCATGGGGGAGGTTGGGTGGCCCGGCTCGCCGGCTTCCCGCCACCGTCCGTGGGAGACGGTCTGCAATGTGTGTTTTGGTTCACGGACTCTTCCGCCTGCGCTGTTGTGTGTCCAGTCGGTCCTGAGCCCTGCCTTGTGCGGTAACCCACACCGGCTGGCTGGTCGCCTCGTGGGCGAGTGGGCAAGCGGCTGGACGGCACAAGGAACGTGTTTCAGAGAGCTGGGAACAAGAACGGCCCGCGACAATTTTCTGAAGCCCCCGGCGAGCCTGGGTTATCTTATCTTTGGTTGGGGAGCAGAACACACCACAATACACCACATGAGCAGCGGACAAAGTTTGTTGGCTGGCCTATGGTCAAATTTCCAGTGCTCGTGCTGCAATCTCGTTCCATTTCGGTTTACATGTTTTATATATTCCGGAGCATGTTGGGGGGGACCATCCCGTTCCCTCTAAGCTTGAGACCAAGATAGTCGTTTTATGTCGTTTTACAACACGTGAGTTGGGCCTTGAATCTCGTTTTTCGGGGGGACCATTTCGTTTTACAGGTTAAAACGTTAGTCAGGATTTTAGAGACGGATATTTAGTCTGTCGCTCACATAACATCAAGGATGCCAAAACCTTGCCTGTGCAGATAAAACGCGCTTCCTGCTCGACGCCGCCCCGAGGCAACAACAAAAAAAACGCCGCAGCATTGCAGTATTTTCTAACTTGGGTTGCGGTCTAGGCTAGGCATGTGTGATTTGTTTGGAATTGAGCAGCTCCCCTTCGTAACCTGGGTTGGCTGAAGCTGAGCCGGCCTTTTATTTGCAATTGGAGGAAGAGCTCCTGCAGCCATCCCTTTGTACAGTTTGATGCTTGAGCAGAGCATATGATTTTTTCCAATTCTCACCACTGCACACAGGAGAACTTCAGAAACGAACGGGAGCTGAGTTTCTTTTTTGGTTTCCCCGGTCACCCTCGTCATGCATGATTTTTTCAGAACAAGTTTTCATAATTCGGTGGGGGACGGGAGTCGGGAGGGATGTGTTTCAGTATCAGAGCATGCCACATGGTTGAGATTGGATTAAGTTTCAACCATGCATAAAGTTTATCTTAGCCTTTGTCGGCGCAGCTTGGGAGTTGTTACATGTTCAGAAGTAACATTGATTGCATCTTGCGGTCTAAAATGGCACACGCGCACGTGTCTTCCGGGTTTGCGGGAGCGCGCAGAATGCTCGGCGATGCAAACCACGCAACAAACACGCATTGCAGTTGCCGCTAGTGCAAATGCTGCCGGCGTTCATGCTGTTGTTGTTGTTGTTGCTGGTGGTGCCACTGCCGCCGCCGCCGCCGAAAGTATTGCTGCAGCACGCGGCGCCACCAGCACATACGAGTTCACCACCCAGCCAGCTACAACAAATTAAGCCAGATATTTTCATGGTCAGTGCTAATGCGTTCTACACGTCTTTCGGGCTGCGCAGATTCCATGCCGGCAGCACGGCTTCCAGCTTTGTTTTTTCTATATTCGTGCTGTGGCATGTGTTTCGGCACGTTATTTATGACAGGCCCCATAAGTTTTGGAGTGTCCTCCTGAGTACGTTGCTAGGCCAAGATGCTAATTTGTTCAAGCGTTGCCTTTGCAGGCCTTAGATCTAGGCCAACGATTGCTTCGCGCTTTCGAGACACCAACTGGAATGCCCCGCTCCCGTGTGAACCTGGCACACGGAATTCCAAAGGCCGGTTTGCAGTGTTGTGTTTACATTTTCCTACATTGCCCACATGCTGCACTGCGCCCAGGGTTCTTCATCCACTGTAACCATAGCAGAGGTTGGGGCTTGACGCAAAACCGGTTGTGCATTACGAGCAGCACGATTGCCGTGGTTCATCGTGGTTCCCAGGCTGGATCCTTCTTGCTGGAGTTTGGAATGCTGTCTCGCCTTACCGGGCAAGATCGCTTCGCCAAAGCTGCCAAGCGATCATTGCTAGCTTTTTGGAGCCCCTTGATCATGTTTCAGGCTTCATGTGACGCATGCTGGATTTCGACCATCACTTGTAGCAGACCAAAGCAAGTGTGAGGCCGCCGAAATACGCTGGATTTGGTTGGCACGTCTATTGATGTGCTTGGGCTGAAGTGTGTTCGCAAGATGAACTTCGTTCTGAGTGTAAGGCGGAAAAACGTCATGAGGATGAAAAAGATCTGAGATAACTGAAGTAATCATGAAAGTTGTTGCGATATGTGATGCGTGAGGTGAACACGGGCAATTTTGTGGATCAACAAAGCACAACAGGACCTGGGCCCGACTCCTAGTGTAGCTTTCTGTCTTCATGTGCAAAGGCTACGGAAGCTTTGTTTCAATCGCACCCCGCAAAGGCAAGATTCGTTTTTCGAGTATTTGCTGAAGGGGTACATATTATTCCAAGATTTGGAGTTGCTCGAAATTTTTGTGAGCGCCTATGCTGCTGTGTTTTGGCAGCATGCAGCAACATGCAGCAACTCAACTTATTGGACCCTACTTGAATGTCCAGTATTGTTCTAGACTGCGAGACCGTGGCATAACTTAGGTGGAATTATACCACAGCTTCGAAGGTTTCACATACAATGTCGAGCTTGGGATGCAGATCAGTCAGAGTGATTCCTTTCAACCCATGCTCCCGTGTCTCTGACGGAGGATATGAACAAGGGGCTCATGGCCAATACGCATTTATCGCCTTTGGCCTGTGTGTGGGCTTCCCTGCAAGTTCTGATTGGAGATGTGGCCAGTGGTCTGCGGTCAGTCCTGTATTGGAGTCTTGGCTGCAAGGTTGTTTCCGTAATGCCATGTTCAGTTGGCGACTTCCATGTGACGTACTGCCATAAATGCAGCTGTTGTGGTCATCGTAGGATCCGGAGGCTTTTCGTCATAATGTCATGTCGTTTGTTCTAAATTTATGGGCTTCGTATCACACCTAAACCTGTCCTCAAACACGCTGACTGGCAGCAATGTCAATCGATTCGATCCGGACACGTTTTTTTTGTTTCATGGGGGTGGAGGTTGGCTGAACGGTGAACTTGCCTTGTAGCCTTGAACACAAAAAGGGCAAGCGATGGCAAGCACCCCACCTGTGCACAGAGCTGATGATTTTGCGCGAATGCACTTCTGTGCTACTTGTGCTCGTTGCTAGCCTGCCATGCTTTTTGCAAAGTCCCACGGGCGGGGGCACGTTGTGCGTTGCAGGGTGTTGCCTGAAGCCCTACGAAAATACAAGCTCCAACCGTTCTTATCGCAAAACGGCCTCACCGCTTTGTCGATACGTCACGTGCAGCTGTTGCGGCCAGGTATGGTTTGTGGAAGAAGCACGAGGCCCTCCCAGAGGTGTTTGACACCAGAGCAGAGAGCCCGACGCAAGCAAGGTGCGACTGCCATGATCTTGATTGATGTGTTGGCTGCAATTTGTCCGGCAGGGATTCACCACTTCGACCTGAGCTGATTGAAGCGATTTTTTACTTGTCGCTGGCCTTGCCCGGTGATTCCATGATTTTTGAAATGGTGCCTTGGTGATGAAAGTTGAGCTTGGATGTTGCATGTGTCTAGCGCAGTTCGGGGGAATGGACTCATCGTTGGAAGCAGGATTGAAACGAAAGTTCAGGCAAAAACACACCAAAAAAGGCATGGTGTCGCATGCTCCTGAATTTATGGATCCGCTAGACCCGCTAGTTCTGGTGAGCGGTGAGCACCCCAAATTGGATCAATCAGGCAGGCAGTGGAGCGCTGCTGCTGCTACTACTACTGCTACTACTACTACTACTACCACCACTACTACTACTACTACTACTAGCCGCCCCCCCCCGCCTACCAACTATGTTCCCTT